CTTTAAGAAAATTCAAATGAATTCTTGATGGTATTCGAGAGTCTATCATTTACTTTCTTGATCTTCAAGCAAATGAATTTCGCTAGTTTGTGTATTGCTCCATGGTTGTTGCTGATTATTAGTCTTAGAGAATTTTCTTCCTTGTGTATCTTCGGTAGCCCGTAGGCTGTCGGTGGTCTAGCGTCATTTTCATTAAAGATTTATCATCCATCTGTTAATTTCTCCATTATCATGCATTTCCTTGAGTATATTATTCAGTGCCCCGTTGATCTTCATGATTAGATCCTTTTTAGTATTTGATAAGTGTTCGGTTCGCCTAGGATACTTTGCATTTTATCCGTATACTGTTACCTGTCCATTACAGCCGTCGCTCCTCCCTTATCCACCTGAAGAACTAGTTGATCATTCTTTGGTAATTTTTTTCGTATACCAGCCAATTTGCTCCTGTGTATCGGTTCTTGATTTGTCAGGATTCGTGAAATTATTTTCAGTTTCCTCTCCTGACTTGTATCTTTTGAATATTTATCCATTATTTTGACAACTTCCTCTAGAATTTTGCTTAGAACGTTTCCTATACACTAACGCTTCCATGTGCAAGCTGCAGTTATGCTATTTCGTCAATCCTTCAAATGATCTGTTATGTAACCACTCTGTTTTAATAAATTTAATATCTTCTTTTGCAATATAGTGGCCCCCCAATACCTTGCATCTATCATCCATCTGACTTGGAAAATGGCGAACATGGCAGCAAACTTTAAGCAAGAATGTGGCCATGGTCATTTTTTTGTCAAACATTTACTTGCTGATTTGTTCTTTGTCTTTTGTGATACTCGTTCTTGAAACTGGAATATTTTGTAAATGAAATTGTGGTAGCTAAGTGGCTTCAAGCATCTTTTTCTTTTTGGGCTTTCCTTGAGTTGTTTTAGGTGGATAACATCATCATCATGCTCAATAATGCATTGGCAAGTCAGTTAGACTGGGCTCTAATTGAAGAAATGATTGTCAAAGCAGCTAATCGAGGGGATCCACTTGCCAAAACTATCGCCCGACTTGAATTAACTGCTAATCAGGCTGTAGTTCGTCTACGGTATGTCATCCTATTATTTCTCTCGTGTACATAACTTTTTATTATACTTCTAAACCATCAAGTTACTTCGCTTTTAGCAGTCTGTATCATTAAAAACATTATGCTTGGTGTTTTTAGGACGATTTCTGAAACGAAATGAAACTTGTTCTTTTATTCAATCATATTTTCGTTTCTTTCAAGTGGCGCAATAATTTAGCACTTCTTTTAACAAAACGCTGGATTGAAACACTTTTCCCTCACATTACTGTTTATTTTTACTAGATTTATACTTGCAGAATTTATTAATATTTTAACAATTTTTATTCATATTACTTTCTTGTGGGTCATCTAATCATTTTATTAATGCTGAATGAGAAGAGGGTTTAAAATTCTTTACTTCACAATTTGTTTTAATTTCTTATATCTCTCTTCCAGAATGGTTTCAATTTCTTTTATTGGTAGGTCTCATCAGCACCTCTGGATAGACTTACATTTTTGTTAAGGTGTTAAGGAACCTAGGTAATTTCGAGCTTTCATTCTTGCTTTGGACAAGAAAACCATCTTAGATACTATGTTTTGTGAACTTCAATAGCGAACTCCAAGCCGTTTTTTATTTAGCTCTGGACTACTGGGCAACGAAACCTTGATACATCAATGTAATATACGATGTCGTGACGAATTTTGTCAACAGCTTTGATCTAGCTGGCCTCATTCGATCCTATTCACTGGGAATTTTACTTCTGCTTTTGAGTCTAATTAAATGCATATTTTGCATATGCGTTGCTAATGCGCTTTTTCTATTATACCTTTTATGTGATGGTACTTGTATTTAGAGTTTCAATCACCCATGCTGTCATATACATAGACTAGTGTCAGATCCTATCGGTCTATATTCCTTTATCTTCTGAGATCCGTCTCATCTTCTCGTTTCAGTGATTTCACTTGATTACTTGCACCGTATTTGTGCTACTCGAGGCATTATTTATCATTATTCGCCTCAAGTGTTTGGTAGCATATATACTGTAGCCTAATCGAGCAGGATCCTTATACTGGATGAAAGACTAATTTGGTACTTATTTTTTTAATCTCAGATTGACATGTGTATCGAGTAAATCTTGTGTTCAAGTGTTTACTTACGTTCTACGTCTACGATCAAACGCGGGGACTATGAACCCGCATCTCGAGTGGAGTTATCGTCGAGTTAACCCCCCGCTCCTACTCATAATTTGAAGTTTTTTACCTTCCTATTTCCTAGTTGCTTGTGTGCTGTTCACTTGGCTTCGCTAGGCTTACTGGAGACTTATTGATTTCCTATTCTTCTTTGAGGGCCTCTTCTTTCTGATTCCTTTTTTATTTACCGCTGTTGCCCTAATCTATTTCCTTGAGACTTCTCAGAGTTGTCCGTTACTTAAGATAATCCCAGTTACTTTGTCCAATTTTGTCTCAGAATTCCACGTTTTAAGCTTCAGATGATCAAACTCTCCAATGTTCCAGTCTTCAATCTGTGGTTCTTATTCTACTCGTAATTGAGGATTATTCATGCGTTAATAGGCTTCTCTTGAGTCTTATGTCGTAGCCAATGACCTCAAAATCTTGGGAATCTAGCCACCCCTCAGTCTCCACAGGGAATTCATTTCTTTAATAAAGTTGACTCGTAAATCGTAGATATTAAGACCAAGATGGTATGGCCTCGATAAGTGTCTCGATTGCCTAGTATGCAGTCCATTCTCTCCACGTATTATTTTTTGTACATTACTACCGTTTTTTCCCCTTATCCATCTGAAGAACCACGTGGTTCATTTACACTTTAGTGCCTATTATAAATCGGTTCTTTTTGTGCTCTTGATGTACTAGGATTTTCGGGATTATTTATATTTCCATCTAGTCTCTTCTGGGCATACTTTCAAGATCTTTGCAACTTCCACGATAATTTATTCTAAAACTTTTTATTTATTAGTGAAGGAAGGAGATATGTGCTTTCGGAATCAAGAGGAATTTGTTAAATTTACTCGCTTATCTCCATGGTAATTTGGGGCTGTGAGGGCTGTCAAATTGCATTATTTAGGTGGGTTGTGTGGATTTTGCGCTGTCTTATGATCCAATATCCAAGCAGTTCCTTATAATGTCTTCAAATCTTATTTCATTTGTGACTTTAATCAGCTATACTCTGGAGTTTTTTAAACTCTTCCGAAAATAAAATACAGTTTAGATGCCGTTTGAGTTTAGACTTCATATATATATATATATATATATAGAGAGAGAGAGAGAGAGAGCAAACTATAAACTATTTATTACTGGCTTGGATCGCAAAATTTTCAATTTAATCTCTCAAGATTATTCTTCTATTTTGTTTCCTTTTAACAGAAATCCCTTTGAGGAAGCGAAAAACATAGAAGGCTCTGAACTGTCGGGACAATTAAATAAAAGGATTGGAGAGAATAAGAAGATTAATCGGCGAAAACAAGCAAAAGGTCTCCGGATTGAAGAAGAGCAAGAAACTCCAGCCAACCTGCTGGGTGAAGTAGAAGTGACTATTGACCTGAGTCAGAATGCTGCACATAACGCTAACAGGTTGGTTAATGTTGCTTTAAACGATTTTAAAAACTTAACATAGAAATAGCCTTTTCTTAATTTTGCTTTGTCACATCAAAATTCACCTGTTGTTAGAATTTTTATAGATATAGAAGTCGTTTGATCTTGTTTTCGCAATTTGGTCATATTGGTAGGAAGACCTAGAGGAACGCACCTAGTCCGGAGTCCATAGTATGCATGATAATTTCCAGAGTCGGACCATGGACGTTCCCAGACGTTTCGCCGGCATCGTCAGTGAGCTTTGCAATTCTTAGCACCATACTACAACTCGCCAAGTAGACAAGTGAAGCCGATTCTTTGCCCACTTTTCTGCTAAATTATTCTGGTATCTCTCCTGCTCTGGGCTATTCACCAATCCTATATTCTCGTATCACACCTTCACTTTCACAATTTCTTATTTAAATGTGGCATAGTGTGCCATTTTTTAGCGGATTTGATAATGTCTCCCCAAACTTCATGCTGGCTTTCTCACCCTTTCTCCCCACAATCATTTTCCCATAAGTCTTATCAGAGTCTCCTTCTTGCTCAGTAGGATCCGTCCCCTACCTTTATGGTCCAAGTATTTCACTCGAACCCTGCCATCCTATCTGTACTACTCGAAGCGTTATTTCCCACACTGTGTCAACCCTTTAATGCACGCCTATTCCCGCTTCGCTGAGTCGGCCCCTAAAAATGAGGGTTCTCAAGGTGTATGGGAGACTAAAATGAGTGTAAAGAGCCCGAGTAATTCTCATGGTCAGGCCTTTGCTTCATGAACCACGTCTATGGTCAAACACGTCTACTGTTAGCCAACTAGCTCTAGTCTCCGCCGAATCTTTCGTGCTTCTATCTATAATAACTTCCTACGCCCTTGTCTTTTGTGTGCCAATCCACAAATGTTGAGGTTCCACCTGTTTTGATTAGGTTCAATGTAGAACGACAACATTTGTAGGTTGGCACACAGGGCATAGTAAGTCATAGACTTGGTATTATAGATAGAAGCACGATAGATGCGGCGAATACTAGAGACTAGACCATTATGTTAGCTAATTAGTTAACAATAGACGTGTTTTCAAAATTCATCAATTTACACAAAGACCAAGAAATTAAGGGCTAAGCAGGTTAATCATATCATATTTTTAAAGGTAGTATTATGCCTAAGTTTTGTATTATAGATAGACCTAATTTGCTAATTATCACTAAGAGAGATCTTATTAAAGTATCTCATGATTTGGTTAAGGAAACACTTCTTCAAAAAATTACTAGATTACATAAATTTATCCGAACCAAAACCAGACTAAGGCAAGTTTTGTCTGATACTCTTAACTCTGAGGATTTCCTGAATCTTCAATCAATGGCTGACAAATTATATGATGTAGTATTTTGCCAGGTAAGGAACAGTTACGATAGGAAACTTTAGAATCTGGGAATTAGAATTAGATCTTTAAATAACAACCGGTATTCAGAGGAGAGAAAATTAAAGTAGGTTGAAAAGTGGTTAACTTGTCCAAAATACCATTGCACAGTACTACTGAGGGAATCCTATCTAGAGATCTCAATTATGCTTTGCCAAATAGTAAGAGCTTCACTGATGAGATTTTAGTAGAGGTTATTAACTTTAGTCACCGATTAGCAGGAAAAACTAGAATTTAGGTTGAAATATAGGTTGTTTCTTTAATTGATAACCATGTAGAAGCACAAAATAAGAATAGATGAGTTAATAATATGACAGAGAAGCTCAATCAATACGAGCAAATAGTTTTGAGGGCAGACAAAGGAAGAGCAGTGGTATTAATGGATAGGACCGATTATATAGAAAATATGAGGTTGGCTTTAGCTGATGTTGATACGTATATAATTATAACTAGGGACCCTACAGAAACACTAAACTCAGGACTTAAGAGTTGCCTGCAACAGTGCGTTAATAGTGGAGAATTGGACAAATGGAAAAATCCTGTTTACTTTGGATGAGAACTTTTGGGAATGCAAGACTATGTAAAATTAAATGGAAACGTCAGCTCTAATTGAGAGAAAATTCTACTATCTATCATTCCTCACCTTTAAAGAAATAGGGTTTATACATCTCATAACTGATTTACTGGTTGTCTCGAAACTATACTTATATACGAAAAAATTATAAAGTTAATAGACGAGCAAACAATATGACAAGAATATTTGCTAGTAAATTTTGGTGTAGTAACGATGTACACGAAAGTACCGATAAGTGGTGCCATAAAGGCATTAGGATATACCTTAGATCTACAGCCAGAGATAATATCAGGAAATAGGATGAGCAAGGAATCAATCATGAGATTGACGAACTTAATAATAAAT